GTTTGTTTCGATTGGCAAAACAGTCTTTGTGTAGACTTGGATGTTATGTGGGTTTTTGGAAAGTGGTAGATTTTATGAGAAAAAGAGTTTGTTCAACGGCATACCTAAAAAGAATGTTTTATCATGGAATTCAATGATTGGTTGGCTGATTAAGAATTGGTATTTAGAAAAGGATAGGAATGTGATTACTTGGACTGGTAGGAAAATAGGTTATTTCAAAACTGGTGAAATTATTGGAGGGTTTTCTTGGAATGGTTTCCATGAAGAAGCCCTATTGCTTTTACTAGAAATGAATGGTAACTGTGAAATATGACTTGAGAGTGAAACTTTTGTATCTCTTGCTACTGATTATGTGGATATAGGATTTCCTTCTCCTTTCAAGCTAGTAATTGCTCAAGTAATTATTGCTGGTTTCGATTGTGATGATTATGATGGCAGGTTATTTAGGGCCCTCATTGAGATGCATCCAGCAATTGGTATCATGAATTTTGCATGTCATATATTAAACAAGAACTTGAATAATTGTGCATTTCATATTGTAATTTATGATTAATGGTTATATTTCAATATGTGTTTGGTATTTTAAACCTATCAAAGATAAGATGTCATGAACTTCGATGATTGATGGTTATTTATGCATGGAACAAGAATAAAGGGCCTGTCATCTATTTATTGTTACGTGACAAAAAAGGGATGCAGTTGCATAGACTGCAATGATTTCAGGTTGTGTCCAAAATAAACATTTTATAGAAGCTACCTATTTATGTTTTGAAGTGCAGGCGCAAGGTGTTTATCCTTTGAATGCTATATATTTGTTCTTTTTGGAGCTGTTGGAGCAACACCAAATATTGATAAAGAGAGACAACTATATTGTGTGCTTGTGAAAACAAGATATAATTTTCATTTGATTCTTGACAACTCCCTTACCTCCATGTTTATAAAATGTGGGTTAATAGATGTTGCATTATTGCATATAGCATATTCTCAACTATGGACTCTCGAGATGCAGTTTCCTGGAATTCAATGATCATGAAATTTTCACATTATGGGCTAGCATATGAAGCTCTAAAGAATTTTGATGTTAGGCTGGAATCTCAAAATCACCCAAATTCTATGAGCTTTTTGGGTCTTTTATTGGCATGTAGCTATGTAGGCTTTGTCAGTAAAACATTGGAATTATTTAAACCAATGAAGGAGAAAGCATAAAAAATACTAGATCTCATTACTATCCGTCAAGTATTTGACAGTAGGGGGTTGATTTGGTCGTAATGATTCATATCACGGATAAAGATTACTTTGAAACCTTTACGAGGAACTTGCAACATGTCATTGTGTTCTTATGAGACGGTGGACCACAAAAAAAGTTGGGAAATAGAAGGTACTTTGGGACTGCATAAAGGCTCAAAAGTTCACATTCACAAAGTTTTAACATTTTGGAATGCATTCAGTGGTAGACAGTTCTGATACGTATGTTTAAATTTTCAATTAAATTGTCTTGATTACCAATCTGATAATTGGCACTATAAAGATCTTGACTATGAGACATTCAAGTTGTTCCAATTGAAGGTAAAAAGTTTTTTCACATTTGCTAGGGATATGACCCTTAAATCTACAAAAGCTTTAGCGCATCCTATTTCAATCCTAAAAGACCTTGATCCTTGGAGATTTAAACTTCTTTGGGCTTCACAAGTACTACCTATACCTCTCATAGATATTCTCATTATTGGTGGTATAGGTGTGGTTGTGGAAATGAGAAATCTAATTATTTAGAGCTAAAAGCTTTATAAAGGTTGGATATTGGTGTTGTTATGAAGGTTTTCTTACAAGACGGCTAACTTCTGAGTTCACACAGGTGAGAGCAAATGTGGAAGAGAGATTTGTTATCATTAGTGGGAGGAACAGAGATACTCTATAAGCATTTAGGAGAGAGATTATTGATGGTCATAATAATATAAACATATTGTATTAGGGTGGCCATATGCCAAACTTGTCATAATCTTCTAGTAATTTGGAATTATTTTTTCTCATGAGATTGCTGAAGAAAATGTTGTTAAAGCTCATGGTGGTTTGTCAATGTTTGCCTTTGTTGGAAAAAGTACTACAAAGGGTATTGACTTGTATAGAGAAAGGATTGAGAGTGGTATCATTAACCTAGCTTATAAGCAAGCTGACAACAAGTGTGCTCGTCTATGGTCAAATGGATAAGCCCCTTGGTGCTAATGCTCATGTTAACCTTACTAGTTTGACTATGGTTAAACACTCTCTTGATGTTTAAAAAGTGAAATCAAAATCTTCTACAAGCAAACAAAATTAGAATTGCATTTTAGAAGACTTAATTTGGGAGTGCTTAGTTGAATTGGAGAGGAAATTCATTCACAACGCTTTCAATCCCCTTACTTGCACCTTAAGTTCCATCAATGGTGCATAAACCTATTTATGAGCAAATTTTCAGTGGAAGATCCTTTCTTAATAGCATATCAACTATAGTTTCTCCATTTTGTGAACTACAATTGTGCATTCTTGACGTACAACCCCTGATACTCCAATAGCATGATTGACATGAACAAAAATAACTGTAGGACTAGTCAACAAAGAAGTCCTTAAATTAGAAATAGCATCGCAGCCTTCGGTACAAAATCCAGTTGTTAGGTTACCAATCAAGACGTCACCCATATCAAACTACCAGTGTCCTTTCCTTGTTACAGTAACAAAGTGTGATCCATCTTGTAATGTTTTGGACCCATTTTGTCAAAAACTACTTCTCCACCTACATTAATCTCAGGATTGCCGTTAAACCAAAATGAAAAAATTGGTTCCTTAACAAGACCTTGATTGACCATATTGTAACAGAATCACTTGAATCTGAATAATTTTCCAAGTTTACAATAAAACTTTAGGAGAGAGTAATTGAATGTAGGTTACTACATGAGGTTATTATTTTTTAAAACCAATTAAGATTTATGTCAAGACGCTTTACAATGGAGGCAATTCACCTATTGAAGCTTTTGTTTGAGGGTTATCTGAGTGAGAAAGAAAGATCTACATATGGTATTTATTGACTTGTTGAAAGTATACGATAAAGTTCCCTGATAAGTGCATGGGTCGGTCTTAATGAAAAAAAGAGTTCCTTTAAAGTACATTAACATATTTAAAGATATGTATGAAGGAGTTGTAACAAACGTAAGGACGTTTGAGGGCTTGACTAATAGCTTTCCCATTACAATAGAATTGCATCAAGACTCAGCACTAAATCCTTTCTTTTTTTTTTTAGCATTAATTATAGATGAGCTCACTAGACATTTCCAAGATAAAACGCCATGATGTACAATATTTACAAATGACATAGTCTTAGTTGCTAAAACTATGATAAGATTATTGTGAAATTAGAATTATGGAGGCATATATTAGAATCTCAAGGCTTTAGTTTGAGTAGATCTAAAATTGAATATATGAAAACCAAGTTTAGTAGTAATAAAGAAGCGAGTGCTAATATGATTAAGTTGGATGGTAATGTAGTACCAAAGAGTAATCATTTTCGATATTTGAAATCAATTATTTAGAGCGATACTAAGATAGAAAGGGAAGTAGATAATAAGAATCAAGCACGATGGGTGAGGTGGTAAAGTGCATCAGATATGTTGTGTGATCGCAACATGCCTTTAAAGTTAAAGGTAAAATTGTATAAAATGGTTGTAAGGCCCACCTTATTATATAGGAATGAGGTTGGACCTTTAAAAAATAACATGAGAAGGAAATGAGCATAGCTGTGTGGTAATATTAGAAATGAAGAGATTTAAAAAAAATTACGGGTAGTCCAAATTAAAAAAAAAAAATGATAAAGGATTGTTTGAGATGGTTTCAACATGTGAAATATAGGCTTACCTATGGATCAGTTAGGAGAAATGAACTTCTAAATTTAGGATAGACCAAAATTTCTTGAGGTATATAAACAATAAAAAATAATATAAGGATTAAGGAAGTAGATAAAAAGATTATTGGTAATATAAATGAGTAGCATAAGAAAATTTAAAATTACGACCTAATATAATTTTTTCTTTCATACAACCAACCATAGAGTTATGAAATATATAATTTAATTTGTATTGTTGTTGTACAAAAAGAAAAATCACTTGAATAAAAAAAAAAGGCTCCTAACCAAAACAAGTTCAAGAAGAAAAAATGAATATCAAGCTTAAAAAAAAGTACAGAAATGAATAGAAATTAAATACTTTAAACCTTTTTTTTCTATTAAAATATTACGAGTATGCATCCCTCAAATTATATCACTTCTTTTAATTTACAAAATTATTCTTTGCAATGGAATTTACAAAATTAGACCACTAATTTTATTATATGCTAATAGAATTTGTGGTATCCCTCTAATTATGAGTCTATCTCATTAATTGCAAATGAAAATCATTTTTATTAGTGAGAAAGAATGGAAAAGTTTTTTTTTTCTTTTTTAAATTAAGATGCGTCATCAATTGTCTTTTAATATTAATTTTTATGAATATATATCCTTATTGTTTAAACTTCGTATTTTTTGGTTAAAAGTCGTGTTTGAATATGATAATGAAGAGATTATTCAGAGGCTGAAGTCTGGTAGGATGATTGGATGGTGGGAAACTTATGGATATCGAAGAAAAGCTTCTGTTAATGACAACGGGATTGCAGTTTATCTCTATGTGTCATGTTCGGAGAGAGGCCAATTGTGTCGCTGATTGGGTTGGCAGGAGAACTCGACAGAGATGTTGCCCTGTTGGCTGGGTTTCTGGTTTGCCTAATGATTTGCTACAACTGTAGCGTCACCATTATGTTGAAAGTGAATTGTAAGCTGGTTAACTCATGACATGGTCTAATCATTGACTTGAAGAATATTTATATATATATATATAATAAATAGAGAGATAGAGAGAGAGCTATGAAAAGCACATGGAGAAGGTACTTATCTTGTCAAGTTTAACATGTTAAAAACTGTATTTACTTAGCAAATAGTGCAAAATCACATGAAAAATGTATCAAACATCACTCACATAATGGAAAAGCCACACCAAATCCAACATGCATTTGGGGTATTAATATTCCCCCAAAGACCAAAAAAAAAAAAAAGAAAGAGTAAACTGAATTACAACTCAAACCCCAAATGAAAAGGGAAAGAGATGGAAGGTGGTCCTAAAGAAATGTCCCACCACCACACAGCCTGTTCAAAAGGAAAAGGCAGATCCAAATAATGCCAACATCACATGTATTCAAAAGTAACTGACAAGCCACACATGCCACTGCCCCCCATTTGCATTTGCATTTGCATTTGCAGTTGCACATGCTCTCTGCCCCTCCTCACCTCCAACCCCACCACACCACCTAATTCCCATCATTTTTTTTTTCTTAAGCAACTATTTCACCACAATCACTCGCATTTCAAACAAACAAATCAGTCACAAGTCACAAAACCTTTTGCGATTTCCCCATAATTGTATCTATATCTATAATCTATTATCGTACACAATCGCACAGAAGAGCAGAAAAAAAAACTTTTAATTAGTTAGAAATTGGATTTAGTTACGTATATGCATTTGGCATACTTTTATCTGGTCCCATTATTTTCTGATCCTTGAAATAATGTCAATTCATCTATAGATCAGCCGGTGACTCTACCTGTCTCCGGGCGCCTAACAAGGTACAAGGGAGGTGCCTGTGGCATGTGATGAGGTGGTCATTGGTTAGACCAACGGCTTGCATGAAGGAATGGACGACGGTTGGTCCAACAAACCTAAACCCCCTTCTCACCATGTCCTTGCTTATGCTCTCTGACTTTGATGTCTTAACTGGTATCTTGTGACCAAATTTGTATTGCGTCGAGATTGGCTTGTGATTCACAAATCCCCATATATATTTATCAAATGAGCCAAACTCCCCCTTAACCTATCATATAACAAAGAAGTAATATTAAGAAATGCCACTTTTTCTATTTATAAAAAAAAAATAATGATAATAATAATAATAATAATAATAATAATAATAAACAATAGGATTTTTCGTTCTTTTCATATTCAAATCGCATGTGAGGTGATTGGTGATCAACATGCGTCTAAGTAATCATGGGTCCCTCACTACTTTTAATTTGGGACAGAGTATTCTTATGGGTTCCCATGGTGATTAACAGCCAAATGTGGGTCATCAGTTGAAGATAACAACAGCTCCCATAAACTTTTCACCAAAGGATAAGCTGTTTGACAATCAAGTCTGTCAATCTCACATTTGTAGTTGCAAATGAGTATATTTCACAGCCAAAATCCAAAAGAAGAAAGTTGTTTTAACTTTAACCTAGGCATATGCATATCCAAAAGTACGTTAACTGGGAGCAACGACGCCATAAAAAAGGATTGAAAAGAGTGATAAAAATTGATGGTTGGAGTAATTACCTCAAGAATACGGTTGGAGTTGTCCACAACACCTCGAACTCTGCTTATGTCAATACCATATTCTGAGCTAACTGTGGTCATTTGTTTTTCAGTGAAGTTGGCTACAGTTTCTGCATCAAACCCTGAAAATGCGTCCCTGCCAATTGTTAAGAGGAAAAGAAGATTTTGTTAGTTTTTATACTTTCTGGTAATGAGCTAGGGACGAGTGAAACACATGTAGTGACCTGAAATCTTGACGTTTGTTCAAGATTGAAGACCAATCCGAGCCAACTTGAGCACCACTTAGAACCAACAACTCGAAGAGCATGCTGTATGAAATTTAGAATTAGTGACATTCAAGAGATCGAAAAGGAAGGATGGAAGGGAATGAGAAAGAGATTTTACCTGTCATCATGGACTGGAACTCCCCATTCTTCATCATGGTAAGCCACATAGATAGGATCTAAACATGGTTAAAAAAAAAAAAGAACATAATTAAGGATGTTAAAACCATTTTTTCCTATGAAGTTTAAAAGTAAAAGTTAAAATCAGAATTACCATTAAACACATCACATGAATCAATAACACAACGCAATTTAAGTAGACGACAATTAATACCTGAGTTAGGCGTGATAAAACTGCACCTCTTCTCTTCCTCACCAGACTTAGCCATAGCGGTTGAAGTTTCAAGAGGAACGACCTTGGATTCAAATTTGGCTGACTTGGACCTCCCATAGTGGGCAATTTTCATCTTTCTTTGTGCTTGTTGAAGTGCCATCTGTTCCCTCCTGACAGCAGCAATACTTCCTGGTGCCTCGACGATCAAAGAAGAAGAATAACTCAATGATGGCTCGATACAAGAAGATAATCCATTCCTCATACACTCTTTGAAACTTTTTGATTTTTTCCTCTCCAAGGTTTTTGTGGTGTTTCTAGGAATGACAACCTTTTCAGAACTTGAGTTCAATGCATTGGGATCACTCCCTCGCTTATTAGCCGATGGCCGGGGGGACTTTGAGTTTGGGGATAAAGGCGGTGTCAACGAGACCTTGGCCCTGCTACCATTGCCAACAGTTGCACTTGTTGCTGGTGGCGTTAACGCTAGTGGTGGAGGAGACAAGGGTGGTATTTTTTTCAACGAATTACGCCGGTCAAGGGTAGGAACATGATTGCAAGTGGGCTGCAGGACCGGACGGCCATTGATCCTGGCCACCGCAGGTGTTGTTATTTCAACACCTGTGGTCACTTTAGCCTTCGAGCTACACATTTTTTTTTCTTTATTTTTGGCTAACAGAATATGGGTAGGGTGCAAAAAGGAATAGTAACGAGAATTGGGTTATGAAAAAGGAAAGTGGAATGATGAGAAATGGGCTATGAAAGAAGGTGGAAAAAGAAAAAAAATGGGAGGGGAGGGATTGGTGAAGAGGGGGGGAAGCATTGGTGGGGTTATATAAAAAGGGAGAAAGTGGGGACGGAGGTCGGAACATGGAATGGGATGAGAAGGTTGGGGTCTGCCATACAACCTCTTGTGAGGGGCACTACTTTTTGGTAACTAGACCACGAGGGATGCCTATGACACACCTCTTTCCGAGCCACTTGGCATTAATTGTTTTCAAAAAAATTAATTATTCTTGAGAAAAAAAAGTATTAGTATTGACTATTGAGATTGATATTATCAGATAAATAATGTTATTATTGTATAGGAGAGAATCATGGAAGCTGATACAAAGGGATTTGTTGGGTTTAGTTACCTTAGGAAGCTTCCCTTATTTCTTCAACTTTATTATTGTTGATCATATGCCTCTCATCCCCAGGAATTCAGCTGGGCTGGAGTGGTGGATAAGGAAGGTTACTATGCAAGAAAAAGACCAATCATTGCTCTATTCTTTTTAGCTGGAGGAATCTCTCTCTGTCTCTCCCTTTCTAGTTGTTTGGGAGATAGGAAAAAGGTCACATGGGAGATCTATTTATTTTTGTCAATCACAAACAGAGGTGAGCTAAGAACCTTTTCAGGAAAGCACAAACTAATCAAACAACCTTTTCAGGGAGAGGTATAATCCGGTTGGTCTTAATTGTTAACTATAAACAGTCAAATTAAGGATCAGATTACAAGTCTATAACAGACGTTTTTATGGGATTATTATAACAAATAGTCCACATCTTTATGTTAATTTTCTAAACTTGTATCTCAATATATATATATATATATATATATAGATATGCGTTCGGTATAAATAGGGCTGCTTTTCTCTGGCATAAGGTAGCATTTATGTGATATTAGTTCGGCACTTAACTTTGATTAGAGATGTCCAAAGGGTAACGCCAGCCCAAGGTGGAACTAGTTGGCACTTTTAAAAATCAAGCCTGAGCCCAACACATTTATTTTAGTTAGGTTTATAATTAAAATATTTTAATATTTTATAAATTTTAGAATTATAACTTAATTAAAATATATTATTAATATTAAAATGATTTCACACGAAGCCAAAGCGTAAACCTCAAAACTAACGTTCAAGGTTCGAGCCTGAATTTAGTTTAAATATCATATTTTGCATTCTAATGGCGCCTAAAATGACAAATAATTTCGGAGGTCAACAAAATGATTTTAAAAGCTTAAAATCATTTTTGGACGGTTGCACAAATTGACATTGATACGATAATCATACAACAAAATTACATTGTAAAGCATTGCACTCAATCTTTAATTGTTATGATAACCTAAGGGCGTATTGTGAGTTTAATAATAGAATCACCTTTATACTTGTATATTTTCTCAGCTATTAGTTCCATTCAACTATATATTATCGATAGATTTGATGCATCACATGAAATCAGTCCTCCTGCAATGCATAAGGCTACCAATAACACTTGAATAAGGAATGTGATACATCTATTTATGTTCTTCTAGTATCGAGATTTCATTAAGGTTTCACTTTTTGCAATCAAAGTGTCATTAGGTTTACAATTTCGTTCGATAGTCTTCTTCATATATGTCTCTTGAGCTAAACTAAGAAGTCTTTTTGAACAATCCTTAACATCTTAACTCCGAGCACGTAGTTTGGTTCACCCATGTTTTCAAAATCTATGTGTGTGATGCAATACTTTGTTTCCCTATAGCTGCCTTGTATAGTTCAAATTTTAGTTGCCATTGTCTCTCGAGCAAAGATTTTTAGAACACCAAATTAAGGTTCAAGTCATTGGCACCTTCGTTATGCATAATTTTCTATTTTCACATAAAAAATCGATACTTAAAATGTTTTTATTAAATAAGAGGAATTGTTAAAATACTATGTTATTATATCCATGTTCCGCATGGTTAATTTTATAATTAAGTAGTATCAAAATTTATAAGGGTAGAAATTGTTGTGAAAATCTTATGTGCTCGCACTCTATTTCATTAATCTAAGTAATAAGATATATTATGCATTTTTGCAATTTCTAAGTGTACTAAAATTTATATATGTTTTAAAAGACTTATTTTTGAGGAATTGAATCCAAGAAAACTCACCCATGCCAATGATATTGCATTTATTTTCATTATAAAAATATTGTTAGTATAAAATTCTTTCAAATTGGTTTATATTAGTTATATTTAAATGATTTTACTCTATAAAAATTTAATCTAAGTATTATTTATGAAAATTGTAATCAAATTACATGTTTTACGTAAAAACAAAAATACACAGTATAGACACCTATCTGTGTCCGGGTCAACTGTTATTATTATTATTATTATTATTATTATTATTATTATTATTATTATTATTATTTTCTTTCCTTTTTCATTAATCTGTGTTGAAACAAGGAAATCAAATCTGAATAACCAAAGGGTTTTCAATTTAGAATCAAATGAAGCAGAACCTAGGCCTAAATCACATTGGGGTTTTCAATTCAAAATCAAATCAGGCAAAACCTAAGCCTAAATCACGTTGGACAAAATCCAATCCCATGATTCAAACTTGGATTGGTTCTATTCGAGCCTTAAAATTAGCACTAAGGCAGACTATAAATTGGACAAAGAATCACAGAGAAAGGCAAACTATAAATTAAGCGTTTCGGGTGATTAAGGGTGGCTTGAATTTCTGGGTTGTAGGTTTAAATTTCTGGGTCTAGGTTTGAATTTCTAGGTTTAGAGTTGAATTTTTGAAAAAATATGAAAAATCTAAAAAAAAAATTCAATTTTTTATTTGAATGTTTAAATTTTTCATTGAATTTTTCGGTGAGGTTTGAAGTTTTTGGTCAAATTTCGATCAGTTTTCCAAAAACCAGTGATCAAACCTAGTTTCCAGTGGTTTGTTTTGAGATTTTTAGAGAGGCGAGAGAAAAAAGGAAGTTAAAGAGAGAAAAGACCAAAGGCTTCTGAAGAAAAGTTGAGAAGTTTGGCTTTTATACCTGCACCAAATGACATCATCTTAGCCAGCCCAAGATTTGCATGAATCCGTTTAGGATCTACGCGACACTCGTGGAGCAACTCGACCCAATCACATGTTTTTCTTTTTCTTTTTATTTTCATTTCTTTATTTATTTATTTTTTTTTACAATTTTCATTCTTTTAGCTTTTTTCTTATTTTATTTTTATTTTCATTTTTATTTTATCTATCATTATTATTTTATTAATTTTGAATTAAGCAATTTATTACTCTTTAAATACTTTTGTAAAATTTTTATTATTATTTTCTGGAAAACAACCTAAAAAAAAATTCATTTTTTTAAAATAAATTCATGAATCCTACCAAACTATTGGAGGATTTTGCATGAATTTAAATTTTATAGATTCTATCAAACTATTGGAGAATTTCATAAATCAGGTAATCAATAAAATATTTTATATTTTATCCTACCAAACTATTGGAGGATTGCATCTTAAGTTAAATCTTACCAAACTATTAAAAGATTTAATGAATTTTCTCAAAAAAATAACAATTTTATAAATATTTTATAATAAAATCTCACCAAACTATTGGGAGATCTGCATAAAAATAAATCTTATAAAACTATTGGAGGACTTTACTAATTATTTGCTAAGTAAAATATATTAATAAATCCGATGACGAAACCTCTTCAAAGTGGGACATTAGTTTTCATGAATACTCCTAAAGTGAAAAAATTATCTTAAATTGCTACCAAACTGTTGGAGTAATCTTAAGATCAATTTTCAATAGTAAATATTTTGGTAAATTATAAATATTGTTAAGGCTTGGATAATTTGAAATCAAGCTAGTACCATCATTTGGATAGATATTGTGAGAGTGCTATAACTTTTCTCATGCGTAATTGCACTCCTGAATCTGAAATATAGTTTCGTGGACTAAAATCTACTATTTAAGATACCTAAGTCAATTTTAGGACTCCTCTTTAAATAAAATAGATTTAATCAGATGACCAATCATGCCTAAACAAAAACTATTTGTGGCGACTCCATTTAATCCATTTCTAGCGATAGGTCTATGGATCTATTCGTTATGACACACAGACACAAAAAATAACAAGCTCTTAAAATGCAACATAATTGCATATTAAAATTTATTAAAAAAATTCATTACACATTACATAAAAATTGATCATATGAATCATATTGAAAAATTTGTAATTGTAATGCTAAAAAAGACATATTACTAAATAATTAGTTTAAAAACTCAGATAAAATATTTTTATTTTTAATTAAAAAAGTACAAGACTCAACTTTCTTCAAATTCAATAAAAAGTTTTAAAGTGAAAATAAATAGTACAAAAAGAATTCATCATTATTGTAAATAAACGAATCAAACAAAAATTTATTGAAATTGATTATCCAATTGAAATTTTAGACAATATCTACCCATAATGGGAGGATAAATTCCTCTATTAATAACTAAGAAAAGGAAACAGCCCAAGGTGATTAATGTTTGTTGGTTTTCTTAATTAAAACAATAAATACAAACATTTAACGCATTTTTCCACTTCCTTTAAGTATGGCAATTGGTTATAGCAAAAGAATGAAGAAAAATAGCATTAAGCCATTTTCTGTGTAGGATGAGAAAAATGAAATTTTCTCTTCCTCTCTCAATATATAGCTTGGAATTCAACCATACTAAAAAGGATGAACATGTTCATCCAAACAAGAATGAGATAAGTTTCATTCGTATGTGGGACTATGTGATGAGTCACATAGAGAACAAGAGAGGAAAAAAGAAAGATTAACAAAGCAAAGAAATAGGACATTCCTCGTGAACTCTTTAAAGAATTTCATACTTCAGTGTTTAAAGACGTATTCTATGGATAATGGAAAATTTTTGAATATTTGATCTTGTCCCTAACCAGTGAATCAAGTCAGCATTTATTTCGTAACACTTTCACAAAAATGTTGCCATTATACTTTTCCAAATTAAGTAAGTCTTCCACATTATTTATGATATATAATCTTCTTCATATATTATTAGATTATCCATAAAAAAAAAAAAAATTTATTGTATTTTATGAAATAAAATAATGGTTTCATTAAATTTTAACAAAAAATGGTTTTAAATAAAATGAATACAAAAATAAAAAAAAATTAATAATCCAAATAATTATGTTAGACAATAAAAATTATTATATTTTATGTAACAAAATTAGGATATATGAGTTTAAAATTTATGTAAAAAAGAATTAACATTTATTGTAAAATATTTGAATTTAATATATATATATATATATATATAATGACGATTTTA